TGAGCCACTCCCGTCGGACGACCAGTCCCAGAGAGTCATTGACCCAGTTCAGCCAGGCACGCCTTTACCTGCCCACACAACTCCAGAGCGACCAGGGACCCCTCAAAGGCCGCCAGAGATCCCACAGCCATCTGAAAGAAGATCCACCAGAGGGCGTTTAATTAGGACCCCAATCCGTTTCAAAGACTACTGCCCACCCTGAGGGGTGCAGTCAAGCAGAACTGTAACTTTGTTGTGTTTTCCATTTGAACTATGTTAGGATGGACTTTGTGCAGGGCATTTAAATCTGCCTTTGTGGACATCTTTCATTCTTTATTTTACAGACTTAATCGTGATATTGTTTTATTTGTTGCCACTTGGAGTTTGTGTCATGTTGTATTTAAGAAAGAGGAGGATGTAACGATATTATGTAATACGGCCTGGTCGCCCAGCGCTTTAGTCAGAATCGACCACGAGTTAAATTGTGTTGACCTGTTGAGCCAGGAATTACAGAGCCTTTACAAAGCTGTCGTCCTTGTTATTTAAACCTTAAAGTTCATTACAATTAGCAAAGGCAGTCATCACAATGTGGTCAACTGGGGTTAAAGTATGCAAGAGTACCAAGACTGTGAAGAGTTACATGATTTATTGTTGGCGATGAATTTATCACATAGAAAGGGCTATCTCTTTGTAAACAAGCGATTCCCCTGCGGTTCACTCCTATGACAACTTGTGAGAACGTCAAAATGAGTCAATATAAATGGTTTGCACAGAATCATCAAAAAATCACCTGGCTAAAAGGTTAATATTTAGTTGCAAATTCCTTGCCAATTTGTGATCTAGCCTCCAGTTGTTACAATTTTGAAACTCCTAGTGTGCCTTTCTTGGGGATGATAATGGGACAAAGTATCAACAGTCCAATTGTAATCTCCCAGATCATGGTGGATCAAAGGAACTGATGAATTGGTTTGCTTTGATGTACCATGATTCAAGTGATCTTGGAACATTGATCCTGATCCAGATCATCCCAAAAGAATGCACCCTTACATGAACCCTGAGAAACTCTAAACAAACATCCATGAGAGCAAATCTTCGGCCAAAAGCACATGCTCCAGACAACAGCAACAGAACAACACTAAACAGAAGCTATTACTTCTAGGATTCTGGTGTTGATGATCTCCTGACAAACAGCACATTTAGCACCAGTCGCCGGTCAATCAGTCCCTTGGGCTCTAAACACATGTCACGCTCTCCCTCTCCGTCACGCCGCAAACTCACCAGTACTCCTAGACCTGATGATACCGTTGTGAATCACAAGAAACCATTTCTTGTGCGGCACAAGGATAACAGTTTGTTGGAAAATCGTGACTTTAGTTCTTTTGCTCGTCCAAAGCCACGAAGGACAAGATCCAAGTCACCCACCAGGAGGCCGCGATCAACTTCACCATCCCGACTTGGGACGTCTAGTGTACTTCCATTACCAGGTATATACTGTTTGTGTACTGCCCTTCCCCTAAGTATTATAAAACAGCATTGACAGTATCATTATAGAAATCTGAGAAAAACAGAACAATGGAACATCTTGATACCATTATCTCGTGAAGAATGCAATGGAAAATACTTTACTTTTAGCATATATTATCTTTTCTGTTGCTTTCTTCACTTGACAATGGTGCCAACTTGACAGCAAAATTGCTGTTCCATTTTTCCCCTGATTTTTATAGTCATCTGTATTTCCAAATTTAATCATAACAGTCATTGCATTTGGCAACCATAAGGGCCTATATTTTTAGTCTTCATTGCACACTGTTTCAATTCAACCTGATAAATAGGAAACCTTCTGTTAAGTTTTGGTTGCATTTATAGTTGTTTTATTTGAATAACACATGTAAATTAGTTGGGTACGGTGTATTAACTCTGGATTATGGTAAGTGGTCTGGGTTTGAGTGCTGGCCAGGGTCATCATGTTGCGTTCTTAGGCAGGGGTAAAGAGTAAATTGTCAGGTTTATTAAGCCTGACAAACCCTTGACAGACTAGCATGTCTTCCCAAGGGAGAGTATTAACACTTCAAGTCAATTCATGCTATTGAACCCCCCCAGGACAGGGGGACTCCTTTATGAAAAGGTCGGGGATGCTTGTCATCTCACTTAGGGGTGTAAATGAAGGATTTTGGTCTCGCCTAGAGTGTTCAGGACAAAATGCTGCTATTTTTAGCCATCAAAGTATTTGTTAAGGTAGACTTGAAGAAATAATTAAAAAAGAAACCTTGTGGCTTCAGTTTTAAGTGGTATCTTTTAGGGGTCAAATACAGTTTGAAGCACACCCAGATTGGTGACTCCTTTAGAGGTTTAATTCACATTTTCTGGTGAGCGCCCCAGACCTTTTTATATGGAAGTTCCCCCAGGATGGAAAACCAAGGTCATGTACCCAACAGAGTAATCCAGCATCTGAAAGCTGCTTTTCACTAGCAACGGAGTCGTAGTGGGAGTTGCAATCAGATTGCAGAGTGAAAATCAAAGCAGTGGATTCCAAAGCAGAATACAGATTTCTCTTTTGCTTCTGTTGCTTATGATCTAGTGAAATCTACAAATTTGTTGGAGTCAGAAGGAGAGGTGGAAGAATAAACCAATCACAATTGCCTTGTGACTGGTTGGTTCTTCCACTTCTACTTCCAAATCTGACAACTAGTTTTCAGTAGATCATAAGCAAAAAAGTCTCAAGAGGGATAAGAAGAAATTGAAACTTTCTGATTCTTCCCGTTCTAATTTGGTTGAGCTTATAGATTCACTTACTTATTACTCCTATTATTGATTTTCATCCAACCATTAGCATTCTTATGACTCTGACTATGACTCTGACTCTGTCGCTCGTGAAAACCAGCCTTGAGTCCCCTGATCATGAGAACTTGACCTTATGCAATAGATGAGCTGATTTCATCAATAATTGATAGATACATACACATTGGGGCTAAAAATCCATAATAGATTGTTTTTCTGTTACATAGCTTGGAAATACTCAGAAGATTTTCCTTCAAGTTCAACAACTCGACACAAAGCTCACTCTCGCTCAGCCACGGCCCCTATGTCTCTGTCCCAGTCTTATCGGCCATCTAGTCCATCTCGAAGTCTGAGTTATGCACTAGACGACCTCAACATCTCAACAAATTCCTGGAAAAACTTCAGTGACCCAGTTCTGCGCTTCAAGAGTAGATATTCACCCAATCTGAGGGCTGCCCTTGGAGCGTCAGACCGCATTCAACAACGAGTGGAAAAGGTCATCGAAGGGAAAAGCCCCAGGAAGTTTGTGAGTGTAAAATTCAAATGTACTTACCTTTTGTTTCTGAGCTCAAGACTTTGTTTCTGCTTGCTAACTGCTACATGGTGTGATCTGGGAATATAACGATAAAAGTGTTTGAGTTGTATGGTGGCCTAATGGTTGGTATGGTGGATTCCAGATTGGCCAGTGCAGGCCGAGGTCACTGTACTGTTTTCTTGGGCAAAACACTTTGGTCTCAGTGATTCTCTTTTCCCAAGGTGAGGGTTGATGGCCTCAGAGTAATGCACAGTATTCAGTCATGTTTTCCTCCAGACACCATGATACCCCACCTGCAAGTCAAAACAACCTTTGAGGCACAAACCATTCTCGTCCCCAGCCTGTGGTACGTCAGTCTGTGGGGCCTTGGCAAGACAAGACATGAAAATTGATTGGCCTGACTCTTGAACTAAAATTTCACCAATTTGAGCCTGGTATCTACTAGCTAGGAGTTGTTTAATGTCTCTCTGATATTGTTACATAAATTAGTTGACTGTAATTATCCAATTTTCTTGCAGTCTGAAGACTCAGATAATGAAAGTGTAGATTCCTTGGATGTTCTCAGGTGGGTTCATGCTCATTTACCAATTTTGTTGTTAAGTGTAAAATTAATGCACTACATGTCGAAGTGAGCTTGGAATTGAAAGTACTGTTTGCAATGACAAGGTGTCTATTAATTGGATGTCCTGTCGCAGTAGAGATATTTACAGGGCCAGGTTGTTCAAAAGCTGATTAATGCTAACCCAGGATTAAAAGTTAATCAAAGTACTAATTTTCCATGTATAAAATGTTTTTCACTGCTCATGTTTTGTGTAGTTTGAGATCATTCAAGTTCAAAACTGAAGGACAAATGATATAAACAGAAAACCTCATTGCAAAGTTACAAAACTGAAATCAAAATTCTCGCTAATCCTGGGTTAGCTGAATCAGGCTTTGAACAATTCAGCCCAAGATTGCATGTTAGTGAGATGCATACTCCTTATGATAAGCATCACAAAGTGTCCTCGTTCATAAAATCTCACCAAAACACATATATCTGTCAAATATGAAGTAATGTGAAAATGACACTTCGTGATGCTTCTCGTAAAGAGCATAGTGCAGTCCTAAACACGTGCTGCAATAGATCCGGAGCAATTGAACTAGGATTGGACATAATTTGGTTCTTGTGGATTGGAGGGAAAGGTTTGAAATTCCAAGGGTGAGGGAAATTTGTGTCCAGCTCAAGAGTGACAGCCATGCTGATATCATGTATAGCGACAAAAGAGGAATTAAAATGACCCCGGGGACCTTCACTTGTAAGATCCCCCATCCCTTGGGAAAATTACCAATTCTGTCAACACCCTGGCCTGCCTGTCATCTTACCCCCCTCTAGTACCCCAAGAAACCCGCTCCCTCCCCATCCCCCAATAAGTGCATTTTTAGATTTTTATTGCCTGTTTTCACCCAGGGAGTCTCTACGAGAAGAGAGAAGAGCACTGAGTGATGCCATACGAGAGGCTGACAGAGCGTAAGTAATTGCTGTTAGTAATAATTTGTTAGGAGCAGGAAGGGTAATCGACATTTGCAAATTGTGGATGGCGTGTTTATGTCTTACAGTCCTATGCAGTATATAACTATTTTGAATTTTACTTGAAATTTTTGTGTTGTGATTGGCCAAATTTGTACTTGTCTAGAGATGAATTATCCGATGTTGAATTTAAATTAATCTAGGTGTAAATCCGGTGTTTAGCTGAATTGTGTGGCAAAATATAGCCTGCATAGCTCGGCGGTTCTTAAGCAATTTGAGCGCGCTGAGAAAGCGGTGAAGCCACGATAGCAAGCGCCAAAGCCGTGTTAACAAGCGGCAAAGCCGCGAGGAGCCTGGGAGAGAGACAATTGAGAAACGGTTCCTCGCGACTTTCGCGGCGCTTAATTGTACGCTCGCACTCAAACTGCTTAAACCGCCAAGCTACGCAGGCTAGGCAAAATAGATCTTCAACTGATTTATCTGTCAGCACATATTCAAGACATCAGGGTTCGTACGGGTCCTGGAAAACCTGGAAAGTCCTGGAATTTTATCGTGGCATTTTCCAGGACTGGAAAGTCTTGGAAAAAGGCTACTGGTCCTGGAAAGTTCTGGAAATCTGTTAAACTCAAGTAAAAAACATGAAATGTATGGCAGGCAGTAAGGAGAATTAACATTAAGATAATGGGAATAAAAGGGTTAATGTGAATTTTAGAGTCCTTGAAAAATCAATCTGAGTCCTGGAAAAGTCCTGGAAAAGTCCTGGAAATTTGTTTCTGAAAAAGGGTACGAACCCTGAGACATACTGATAGATGAATCAGCCAAAGTTGAAGTTTGCCACACAATTCGTCTAAACACCAGATTAACACCGAGATGATTTATCTGTCTCAGGCCGAATTATTCATCTCAGATGGCTAATTCATCTCAGACACATAATTTATCCCTAGAATATAAATTCTGCCATTGGTTCACTAAGCTCTTTTGCAACGTTATGTTTGACCAGATGCTTATTGCTATTTGGTTTGTGGTTTTACCAGTCATCTCTTGCGGGTTAATAATATTAAGAGACAAGGGATGATGAGAAGAAGGCCAAAAAAGAGAAAGGAGGGACGCTCCCATCGTAGTTGCCAATAGTAATAATAGTTTTCATTTTTTGCAGGGCGTACTACAAATCCTTGGGAATTGATTTATGATCCACTTCAGCTTCACTGACGTATTTTCTAAAAAGAGGTGAGTATGGGTGCAACGATGCATGCAAACAACTAACGTTTTGGTTAAGACACTGTTTTGTCCAAGGTGTTCAATTTCTTCTGTGCCTGCAGGGAATCATGGTACTTGTATTCATCAAAGCATTCCCTCCTCTTGCCACGTTCCTCTACCCCCTCAGATTTTTTGGCTCGCCCTTATTTTTGCATGGTGAGAATGTGGTAAGTTCTTCACTCTTACAGGAATGCAAGCTAAGTGGGCCACAAAACAAATTTAAGATTTGGGGACATTGAACGTGGTCTATGTACATCTGCCGCACTCCCCTCTCCGATTTTTTCAGGGGAGGGGGCAGATGTACACAGGCTACATCGAATGCAGCTGCCATGACACCTTGCAGACGTGTCTCATGGGAGGAATAAACCTTTCCATTGTATCTGATGCGATCTTGCTTAGAGAGCAAACACGGCCAAGCATTGCAGTAAATGTGTGGGAAAAGAGGAGTCTACCAAATCACGGAAAATTTAGCAATTAAGAACTTAAGATTTGAGGGAAATAGCCTTGCTTATGGTTTTCTATTTTCCCATACAAACTGGTAAGTCCGTAAAACAGACACAATTTGCAGGAAAACTTAGAGGCATTTGCATGAAAAATTAAAAGTGCAATTCTTTGCCTTACAGCAAATCTTTGTTCTTGTAACTCGTAAAATCTTCAGAAAGTATCTTCGGCAAGTCAATATAAGCGTTGCAAAAATACTGTAAGATTTAATACTCGACGTTTTGGAGTCAAACATCATGACTCCAAAACGTCAAGTAATTTTTACATGTCTATGCAAAAGCAAATCTCTTTTGATCAAAATATAAGCCTTGTTGCTTATTAACTGTAGCTGATAGTGTGAGGAGACACAGGTTGTAGGTAAATCTGCAAATTTATTAACTTACACTATGTTTACACTTGGCGCCCAAATACGATTCTCGCTCGACAGTAATGCAGGGAGTTTAAGAAACCACGACGGCGACGCCGAGGACAACGTCGGTTACAAAAATGAACTTGTATTTTACCTACGAATCTCGCGATACCCTAGAGTCATTGATTTTGTTTCTCAATGTCAAAATTACCTCGAAACTGAACGTGGAACACAGCGTTAAATTCGGAATATAAATTTAAAAATTAGCCGTTGTCGTTCACGTTCTCCAGACAACGCAGAATGTGGTCATTTCACGTTGTTGTTTTGCTGAGGACGGTAAAGAAATGTACCAAGAATTATAACGCACGTGCACAACCATTGTTCTGCTCATTAGTTCTTTCGTTTAGCGACGTTCCCGCTGCCGTTGCCGTCGTGGTTTTCGTAAAGTCCCTTGTAAACACACCTGTTTTCCTAGTACTCACACCAGAATTCGGGCACATGCCCATGCCTTGGTGCAAGGTCTCAACCTTGAACTCAGCACTAAATGGTACTTGGGTCTTTGGAGTGCACCGTGTCTGAACGCAACCAGGCACCAGTGCTTGGGGACCAAGTGTGAACACAGACTTGGGTGAAGGAGGGAATGGAGGCTTAAACGAGCTTTCGTGTGATGCAACCCCTAATTTTGACACTTACACATTTCAGGTTTCACTGTGAAGAAAACTCTTCGTGTTCAGTCCGAATGGAAGATGTGTAGAAGCCATTGAAGTTTTGCCGGCATTTTTTTTTTTAATTTATTGTACATGAATGATATTCGCGAGATTTATCGAGAGTTTTTTAACCGACATATTAACTGCCCTGAGATGATTAACTCTATGTCCATTCTTCGCACTTGCATGAACTTCCTACTTAGCTGTAAGATCAAAGAGGTCGTTTTAGGAGCCTAAAATTATTCCTACTTTCAAATCAGCCATTTTATATATATTTATTTTGTCAAAACCATACAAAACTGTGTTATTAATCTAGAGATGTGCGTCATTATAAGAAGTGTTAGGGTGAATCTGGATGTACACGTGATTTTTAAGTGATGCCAATCCCATAGCGCATGGGTAATGGATGGATTTGAAAAAGTTGTGTAAATTAATAAAGTTATGTAAATCAGTGAGCTTAGTGGAGTGTTTGATTTTTAACCCGTGAATTGCATAAACAACTTACGGGTTGCAGTGGTGGATCGGATTATGCAAGCAAGGGTTGGTCGATCATCTTTTAAACTTCCTATCATTTCCGCTGTTTTGCGGGCTCATATATCGTTTGACATATCTAGGACAACATGTTACGTGACTGCGAGTATTGCGCTAAAAAAATGGAACCGATAGTTCAAATAAGTAAAAATAAAATGGTTGTTAAAACTTCTGGTTAATTTGTTGATAAGGGAAAGAGTTAATGGCAGCTTGTGACTGTTAGTTCAATAACTGAGATTAATTGTGTTGAAATTTCCCGTTCATTTGTTCGTCGGGGAAAGTGTTGATCTTAATCGTTCTGGCGTACGTCACGCAGCGGTGACGTAATGCTGCGATAGGTTTAATTCAAGTCAATAAGATTAACGTATATCTGTCAATGTTGTGTCACTGCGTTGGTATAAAAAACAGTTTTGTATCCTTTCTGCTGTGGCTATGAAGTCTGGAAAAACGATCTTTGTGAAAGTTCACTGTCAAAATGATTACTTTCAGGTAAAGAAGCTGTTTTCCTCTTTACATCATGGATGACAAATTACTCCTTAATCTTGGCACGAAATCTCAGTGTTAGGGTGCGTGTGTTGAAGAAAATCCAAATTCGAAAGAATCCGAAAACGTATTTTGCGTTTCTTCACTAAACAGATCAATCCAAGATCTCTGGCATCATGGTGCATCATGTCGGGTGATCCCAGAGATCGTGGATTGATCTGTTTAGTGAGGAAGCGCAAAATCTGTTTTCGGATTCTTTCGGATTGAAGAATCCAATCTTGGATTTTCTTAAAGAAACGCACCTTTAATTTATAATTTCACAAGTGAAACTACAAGTTGCCATGGCAAAGTTTGGCGCGAAATTTCACGATACAAACAAGACAAAAACCCATGATTGTTTGTGCAATTTGTCACCCGTGATATTAAAAGGTAATAAAATAGTGTACTCGTGAAATTAAGAAATAATTCCACTCGCGGTTTGTCAAAATTCAAATTATTTCTCTCGCCTATAAAAGGCTCGGGAAATTATTAGAATTTTGACGAAACGCTCGTAAAATTATTTCCTTATTTCATTCGTCACCATTTGATTTCCCATAGTTAAAATTTCGTGGTTTTTTTTTTATGAAAAGAGTAATTTCATATTACGTAAAAATAAGGGTCTCGTGTCAATCATCATTCACCGGGAAATTCACAGGTTGCTCATGGAGCACTGATTTTAATTGCTCGAGCAGCTAAGGAAAGGAAGGGACCTTTCTTTTGATCATTTATTTGTTTATTTATTTATTTTTTACGATAACTGCAGAAGCTCTCGGGCGCTCATTGACTAATTTTCGCTGTCAATAAGCGGACAGACATGAATTTATAATTTATGCGATGCGTCAACGAGCGAGAGCGGACGATTTGACAATTTGTTATTGTGAAAAATAAATTGACGTCAGTTTTTCATGCGTCTTTCCTCTGATTGATCATGAATTTCGTCATGACATTGTCAAAATAGCTGTGGATCCACGAGGCGATAGCCTCGTGGACCCTCAGACTACGTACTTTGACAATGTTATGTTATCATGTTATGCTGTTTGTCATCAGTCATTGGTGGGTTTCGATCCGTCTATTGTTAGTGAAATAGGTACGAATCGAAACCACCAATGACTGATGACAAACTTTACACGAGTCTTTCAGCCAATGCCATCATG